TTCTCAACTCTGTGAAATCTTTAAATTAATTTCGGAAGCTGCTTTCGATGTTAAAATAATCACTGGGGATTTTAACTTTCCTGAAATTGACTGGGTTTCCAATAGCTGCCCACCCAGATTCCAGCCCTTTCAAGATATTGTCTATTTTAATAATTGGTCCAACTGGTGCTTTCTCCAACAAGAGATAATCACACTTTAGATCTAACCTTTATTAATGACATTGACCCTTTTTGTTGCTTCCAAAAGTAACCTCTTTCACATTGACCACGTATTAATTCATTGTTGCTTACTGCTTGCCTTTTCAAAAAAGACAAGCGCCGTTCGGACTTACATGAACTACGACTGCGTAGATAGCAACTTAATAAATATATGAGATCCTTGGATTGGTGTGGCTTCCTCTCCTGTAGCGATGTAACCATTCTTCGTGATGTCATGTCCAATGTTTCCAAGGACATTCTAGAGTTTGTGCCGCCTAGATATCTCAAGCATAATTCTTCAGATTCTCCTGTTCCTCATTTTCTTCACAGCAGACTAAAAATTTGAGACGACAGCTGCGCGACCCATCCACTAGTTCCTTGTCAGTTCATCTTAGAATCACAGAAATATTTGAGATGGCCTCAACGATGCGCCAAGCGTGCGACAGGCAAAGAGAATAACTTGCCCTCAGTGACTCGAACCCTGGCAAATCCGTCGCTAACATCTACCATCATCGGTCTTCCTCTAAGCGTGGTCATGAACTTCCACCCCTGCTAAATGATAACAAAGTCTTCCTCACCGATGACACTGACATGGCGGAGTTTTTTAGTGCTTTCTTTGCAAAACACCATAATACTGAGTCCGATCCGGTCCCTTTCTTTCGATCACTTTCAGATAGAACACTGAGTACAATAGATGTCTCCTCAGATCTCATTAAGAAACACATAAGTCGTTTGAAATACTCACACTGCTCAGGAACGGACGCGATTACAAATTCGATCATTAAACAAGCACCCGACCTTCCCATATTGCTTAGCCATTTATTCTCGGTTTATATTTCAAAAGGATCCTTTCCTGAAACATCAATGGTGTTTCGACTGAAATCGGAAATCCGCAAACTTTTATTTATGCCGATGACCTCATGTGTGTTTACTCATATTCTAAGGACGGGCAAACATTTGTGTTAGAGAAAATTAATGCCGATTTACTACGCTTAAGCAGATGGGGTTCAACATGGCAGATGGAATTTTCAGCATCCAAGTGTAGTTTCATGTCTTTTGGTGCTGCCAAAGTTCCTGGTCCCATAATTTTTCAGAATAACCCGCTCTCAGAATACTTCATCATAAAGGACCGAGGTTAACGTTATACAAATAAACTTGCTTTATCACCTTATGCAGATAGAATTTCTGCCAAATCCGCGCAGATATGTAGATTCATACCGCATAATTTTGCCTTCCGGAAATGTTTGTTCTTTCAGTCCTCGAATACTGCTGTCCTTTCCTTAGTTTAATGAACGCCTGCGACCGCTCTAAGATCGAAAATGTTCAGAGGGTTTCCACCCGGAAACTGTTCTCTTATTCTTCGTCCGGTATTTCTTATACTCAGAGATGTCAGCTGGGGAACATAAAGTTTTTGTTGGTTAGGAGTCTCGAAGCTAGCCTTTGCTTCATTTTTCGCATTAACTCTAGCTCCAATCTTCCGCTCATTGACACTCTCACTCCGAGAGATCGGTCTTATGCCACGCTCAACTTCTTCATGGTGATTCCGCCGCCTCTTTGCACTACATCTAAGCGTTCCCTCTTCTTTGCTTCCAAATATGCTTTCCTTTGGAAAAATCTTCCGCCTGAAATTAGATCATCGCCTAAGTTACTGGTATTCAAGTCGAAATTACGCAAACACCTTACACCGGAAAGCATGAAGGCACTGTTAACGGTCTCATTCCCGAACACTCAGCTTCTTGACTTCGAGAAGGGTCCTCTTGGGATTTAGTGGTAGATCGAGTGGCAACCCTCAATTATATCATTAGAAACCCTGTTTTGAATTGGTTTCTAAATCCACTGCTCTCACACCTCCCCCATAGCGCCAATTTTCGCGGTTTTTGATGTCCTCTCCCGCATTCCGACCTCATGTGGTCTGTGGGCGCTCACGGCGGAACCCTCAGTATTCACCGTATACTAGTAGTTTGGTCGTACTTCCCTTCCCCACTGCTCGGCTGGGCTCGAAGCGTACTGTGGCCGATCGCGTCTGGGTTCCTCTCGTCTGGCCTCTTGGACGCGAATATTCTCATCCGGCGTATCAATCCGGCCCAGACGATGTCAGTTCTGAATCCCGTATACAATACCGCATGCAGGCCAGTCCTGTCTGACCCGCATACGTCCCCCTCAATGCTGAGATTTATTGCTACCCTGACGATGGCCGATTATAATCCGTTATATACCGCCACATACAGGCCGGTCCTGCCCGCATTTTTCTGTCATTATTTTTTATTGAGGAGTTTTTTCTCCTGTAAAATTAATCCACTCATTTTTAAATGTTTGTATGGGGTTTTTTTCACCCCTCGCTTGTCATTTTTCTCAATGGACTATTAATTCAGAAACTATGAATTACATTTTGTAAAGTTTCTGCCTACCTCGTCTAAAATTCGCATGTAAATTTATATTTACTTGCTTTGATGGGACACCGACGGGTCTTTAATAAAAAATTATTATTATCATTATTATAGGACTTTAGTCTATCGCTTGAAATCAACGATTTACCATGTGCATCAGGTGTGTCAAGCAGGCCCTTCTCCCGCGAAATCTGTGCTTCTAGTCAGAAAGACAATTATATTGTTCCAAGAACTGCATTACTTTGCGTTTGCCAGATCTCCCTATAATTTTGTAACATGTGGACTTGAAGCTAGCAGGTCTGTGTTTGTTTGCAGAAGGACAACAGTCACTTTTGTATATTGATAGCATCCATGCCATCTATCACACAGGCGCCAGCCCATCTACAGCGAGGTGGGCTGAGAGGACGGATAAAGGGGTTTGCTTTATTCATATACTAGCTACCTTAACAAATCCGAAAGAGGCTCAGCAAGCAACTGCTGCAAACTGTCTCTCCAGGCTTGTGTGTACAAATGTCCGAAGTCGAAGTTCTGCGTTCCAGCGCGTGGGTGGTATTTTGTATTCTCTAAGTTGTGTACGTCGGCACCGGATCAGCGAGGGAGTTGCGGCAATTGACAGCTGAGTCTCGAGCGGCTCCGGCCGAGAACTGACTTGGAACGGGAGACGGACGGGAAGGTGCGGGTAGAAAGTCATGCTGGAGACCACGGATGCAGATTGCCACACTAACTTAGCACCTGTTATGTAGCAAGGGTTCTGCATGTGCTTTGTTTCTGCCAATACTGAATGTTGATGCGAAACGTACCTCGTTCCGCTCCCGTCTGCATAACCTGTATTCGATACATGTAACCCTCGCGGTCCCATACCCTGATTTTCCTTTTTAAAGAAGTTTTGTAAAGTCGGCTTGGACGCAGGCAATATTATGTGGCGAAGGACTGACTAGGTCCTTAATATTCAGGCCTTGTCCGATGCATGGACCTCGATCCAACCAACCTTCGCCGAATTTAACGAGGCGTCTCGTCTGCGCATTACGGGGTACCAAAGACTTTCAATATAACTTCGGACAGGCCGGCATGTACATTCTCATTCTTCGGCTGGTTTTACCTATGTAGATGCACCCTACAATAATACGATGAGAATGGTAGAAAAAGACTAGTTTATCCTGTTTAGGGTTGCGTCTGTTTGGGGGCTGAACTAGAAGCAGGGTTTTAAGTAACGAGTGTGGTAAACGTAGTCAGGGTGATGTTGGGAATATAACTACAGTCACCGAATTGACCTACGCATGCACATTACGCCACCATTTTCTCGGATGCTTGGGAGTCCGAGTGCGCATCGACTTCAATTGACCTCTGGAGTTGAGCGGATAAAACTGCTGCCCCAATTTCTAGAACATAAATTTACTCTCCCACCTCCAGCGCACATCCGTTGAGCCCCAGTTGTGGCTTAAATTTGAGTTCGTTGAGCATTCAACCGAAGCCTGATTTACATAACTGTTTGAGAAGCAATATTTTGGGAATTTTATTAGGCGTTCTATGCTCAAATAATGTTGATCATGGGCTCATTATTATTATTTCCGCGATAAGCCAATATAAAATTGACCTGTCTACAAGCTTCAGATCAGATCAGATCAGAATCATTAAGCGAAAGGTAGGCGAGCGTCTTTGAACTCCCTTTTGGTTAAGATAGCATCATAAAAATAATGTGTAAGGCAAGTGTCAAAGAAAATTGTGTAAGTAATTGCATACAACAAGCATTGATTACTGGTATAAACTTGTCTGTGAATGCCTTCTATGCCGAAATTGTACAATAACCAGTACGCGGTATTGAATGGACCAAGTAATATCCAAGCAAGCGCATATGCTTCGGCCAGGAGATAACGAAAAATCATAAAATAATGCTACTTAAATATAGGGAACAACATGCTTTGTAAAATAAAACTTTGGGGGGGGGTGTGGTGCAGGGGAGAAATTTGTTGGTTTCTGATGCCGTGGAGGTACCTATCCCTGTACTGGTTAAGTTTCCTCTTAAATGTGTCCAAGAATGAGGACATAACGACGTCCACAGGCGGGGCATTCCATACCTTTAACACTCTGTGGCTGAAGAAGGACCCCCTTGCGTCCAGTCTCGTCCCTGTCACACGTAGTTTCGGAGGATGTCCTCTCAAGCTAGTTGTGCTGGCAAGCTCATAGAAGTCGCCGGATGCGAGGCAGCAATCCTGGCCCCGTAGCATTCGAAACGTTTGAATTAAGTCGCCACGTAGTTGTCTGTAGTCCAGGGGAACGAGGTCAAGATTGGACAGTCTAGTTTCGTAAGGTTGGTTTTTATGACCTCCAGGCCTGAATGGCAAATTCTAACTGTGGGCGCACAAACATCCCGAAGACTTCGCGAAAGCACTCTTCGTCGAACTTCGCAAATGCCCACTTGGTGAGATATAAGCTGGACATTGAGGATTTCGTTGCTTTCAAGCAGTGGAATGATGGCTTTAGTGAAGATTGTACCCACACACCTAGATCCGTCTGCACCTCTACCTCTGGCAGCGGTGTGATTTAGATAGTACGTCTTCCGATACGCATAGCTGATTCTGCCAATCCTCAGAATGTTGCATTTGGTAACATTAAATGGGAGGAGCCAATGGCGTGACCATTGTTCGAGTCGGTTTAAGTTTGCCTGTAGATTTGCTTCATCGTCCTCGTTGCGGACGACAGTCCTAAGCTTTATATAGTCAGCAAACATGGCAATGTCGCAGTCCAACCCATGAATGCAGACATCAATATAGATGAGGAAGAGGATAGGGCCAAAACTGAGCCCTGAGATCCTCCTCTTGTAACCGTCACTTCGGCCGATTGCTGGCCACCATTACAGACAGTTTGAGACCGAACAATCAAAAAGTTTTCGATCCACTTCAAAAGCTTGCCTCTTAACCCTATGCGGCTGAGCCTGTAAAGGGACGTTGTTGTGGCACGCTGTCGACGGCCTTACTGAAGTCTATATAGGCTATATGCACTACGTTTCCTTCACAAATCGCTCGAGTCCACTGTTCAATACAATAGAGTAGATTGGTCAAGCAGGGCCTTCCTATGCGGAAGGCATGCTGTGCATGAGATAGAAGATGATGTTGCCGTAAAAACCGCATCAGTTCGCATTTGATACTTCGCTCCATAATTTTGCAGCATATGGAGGTGAGGCTTACCGGTTGGTAGTTGTTTGCGGAGGCTCGACTGCCACTTTTATGTACCGGGGAAATCCACGCAGTCTTCCACTCAGGAGGCAGTCTGCCTGCATCAAGAGAGGTTTGGAAGAGGAGACACGGAGGTTTTGCCAATTCTGTGGCTAGTTCCATCAGCGACTTTGCCGGTATTTCATCAGCACCGGGCGATGTCGCTTCTTTTAGCTTCAGTAGTTCTTGCTGAACAATAGCGTTTGTGAGAACCACTGTGTCAATTGTCGGGACATTGTCCACATTACAGTGATCAATGGGTACAGCGACTTCTCTCGTAAAAACCGACTGAAGGAACCTGGACAGATGCTCAGCCTTTTCGTCGTCCTTGTAAAGTTCAACGCCATCATCAGTTTTTAACATAGGGATGGGATCCCTGTTGCGAGTACTTTGTCTTATGTAGTTGAAGAAAAGCTTTGGGTTTTTTCCTGCACAGTTTGAAAGGTTACCCCCAAAGTCTTGGCGGGCTTTGTAAACTAGGCACTTTACCCTATTCCGCTGAACCTTGTACCTATTCCTTGATTCAATTGTCCTATCCCTGAGATAAGTTTTCCACAGCTTTTGCTTACGGTTTACTTCAACTTTTAGCCTTCGGTGCCTGCTGGTGATTTTCTTTTTCGACATAGGGCACTATCTGGTGATAAGTTCATTCAGTGCGGCCTTAAGTTCTAACCAGTCCTTCTGAACACACCCCGTGAATGCCGCTTTTCCGTCTCTACGACGCATGTCGAGACGCATTTGGTTGAAGTCACCAAGTAATATGTTGCGTCTGATCACGATGCTTTGATCAGGTACAGAGAAGAGAGAATACTCCCACTGTAGGACTACATGGTCGCTATTTCCTAGAGGGGGTAGACAGATTACAACGTCAGCGCTTTCAGGTGCTGTTGTCAATACAAGGTCTAAGCAGTTACATCGTAGCCCTTCGCGTAGTCTGGTTGGAGATGAGAAGTGTTGTGTGAGATGCCATCTTTACACTACTTTTAGCAGGCGGCGATCAAAGTTAAATTCTGAGCCTGGGGCAGAAGTCAGATTCCAGTGAATATTCGGAGCGTTAAAGTCGCCCACAATCACGACATTGGGTCGGATTGAAATCGCTTCTAATTCCTCTATTAGATTACTGTCTGATTGCCGGTCGTTCCTCGGTGGGAGGTTGACCGTCAGCATCTCGAGAGCTTGTGACCCCGGCGTTTTGATGGTTAGTCAGATTGCTTCATTTGTGCGCGCAAACTGTCCCCCTTTTTCTGACACAAAAAGGCCATATTTGACATATATGAGCACACCCCCACCATGACGTTCCAATCTGTCCTATCTGAACAAGTGGTAACCGGATAAAGCGACATCGCGATCGTCTACGCTCGCGGATAGCCACGTTTCAGTTTTATATATTGCATCGGGTAAGGTTTGGCTGACGTAGATTTTAAGCTCATCTATTTAAATAGCAGACTTTGCACATTGGGATATAGGCATTTTAGCTATTTTGCATTTGGAAAGCCGGCTATGTCGGTAGTGCTTGTAACCCTGCCATTATCTCCAGTTGGTGGGATCAGTTAGGTAACTGGGAAGAGTGTTGTCGTGTTCCTAGGGGCATATGAGTCTAAGTACCGACTTGCGAATACATAGTCGTCGAAGTATAAAAACACAACAAAATTGCTGATTTCGCTTTGCGTTCTGATTGTTGGTCCTAAGTAAGTTTGCAGGTTCTGATGTCGTCTAAAGCATGTTTACTGCTGCTAATTTCCGGCTCACCTCCTTAGGCCCCTTTTCCAGACTTCTGTTTACCGTCCTACAATGCACGGACTGGGTCTACACACTGTGATTCCTTTAAAAAAACGTTACGAAGTATTCAAGCTATTAAAGCACAGACTTTCCAAGCCCAAGCAATCCACTGAGGGACTTTCGGTAGTTAACACTGACCGCCCCTATCGTAAGTAAGCATAGGGAAGGCAGTAAACCAAGGTAAAATTGCCTACTTGATCCCCTGTTGCAGTTTGATTAGTCGCTGATTGTTTAACCTTACAAATCCATTTACGTCGTTAGAGCGCGCGTTAGGACCTGTGACAGGCGATGATAACGGACGTTCAGCTAACAGTCTTCGTGAATTTGGCCGGATTAGTTTTGTTTGCGCTGGTGGTCATCTACCACTACGTGGCTATGGAGAAAAATAAGAAGTCCACAAAGGTCCGACGGTTAAATGTGTTGTCCGGTGAATCCGTCAAGTCCTAGACATTATTTTGTTCACTCATTTACATTTTTACAATGGCGGACGGTTTACTTTCTTTCTATGCCTTTGGTATAATTTGAACAAGTTGGGTGACTTCCCTGTGTTCTTTGCATCTGTACCTGATTTTGGGGTGCATCAGAATGCCAAACATGTTTGCTATAAACACTTCAGTGGAGGATGTGAATTCTCATCCTCCTGTCTACATTTCTTTGTCGTCCATCTCTTTTTGATTTCACGTGCCTCCAGTCTAAGGCGGGGATATTCTGCATACTTACTCAATGACTCACGTCGCGCAATTATGCCGTATTAGACGCCACTACGGTTGAACTGTACCAGACGCCATATCGTCTGACTCCGCACTAACGTGGAATTGATTGGTTTTATAGCGCCAAATCATACTCAGTAGCCCGTCTATTTCGTAGTCGCTGCTTCTATCTGCAGCCTACGGACGCGCTGGCCAGCCAGCAGTTAAGCTTGTAGACAGGGTTCGTCACTGATTTCGCACCGAGTTGATGGTGACTTACAGACGTATCTCGGTATGAACTTACTATAGATCATTTCGCCCCTATCACATGGGTTTGTGTCGGCGTCCATTTTTGCGTCGAGGTCCGGTTTGTGACCAACATGAAGTCGAAGGACATCTAAATTGCTCACTTCGTCCAAAGGCTAAGAGATTTACACTGTTTATGGCCACTTGCTTGCTCTCTGCCCGTCATCAGTGTTGGTTCAATCTGCTCGGGAGTCTACGGCATCACGAATCTGTCTGACCCCGAGCTTGTCGGTTGGGTTCTAAACGATCGTTGTCCAGCTGACGTTTCGCTAATAAATACCAGTTACCTGGACTTCCTCCTGGCCTGACGTGAACACACCTGTCTTCTTATTTGCCAACCAAAGATGACCTCGCGGAGGGACTCTCTGCGAGTCTGTAGGATGTGTGCCCAACCGTCGACGGACAGCCTCTGGTTGCTGTTGGAGTTCCACATTCTGGTCATCATCCGTGGGTGGAAGCCTTAGCTTTCCTGAGGGCAGCAACTAATGATAACCATCTCCTTCAACTCGTGGCCTCCTAGTGGTCAAGTCACTTTCCCGGCAATCTGTTCGAAATCGGACTTGTGGGTGATGCCGATCATTCGACCAGTAAGAGATTACGTTCCGCTCTAGGAATTCTCGGGCAGGACGATGTCTTCGACATGTTTGGGGCGGAAAACGACTGTGTCCAGCCAGGATGAGTTTGTGTACACAATTGAATTTACCCAGTAGCTAACGAGGACTGGATAAAAGTCAGAATGACAGAAACTCCGGGGTGGCAGTTGCCAGTCGAGGCGGTGTCATGGCGCAGAGATTGTTACCCGCCATCGTTTTGCAAAACCCGCCTATAAGCTGCGAAGGACAGGAAATTTAGCCCGTACCATACTCATACATTTCCATGAATCTTGTCGTCTTGTGTCGTGAACCCCGGGACTGACTAAGCCACTATTTGTGCCAGCGGAAACGAGTATAAGTGTCGCTGTCCGTCAGCAGTGTTCGACCGGTTGCACAACTTTTGACCCGATTTTAGAGTCACTGTCGTACCCACGAATTGGAGTAACGTTGTTCTTGCGCCAATCCGCAGGGAAAATGGCAACTCCATGTAATAATTAATGTTGCAGTCTCCTTGGTATTGCTGCGGAAGTCTTCTCAATCGCCTCCACTTGTGCCGCGACTCATGAGCAAGAGAGCCAATGCCCCCTTCGTCTGGGGCGCCAATATTTCTATCAACACTTTTCGGCTTGCCTAGTCATCGAACACATTAGTGCTGCGAGCAACCCATTCGTGTACCTCGCATATTTCACCCCAGCTTTTGGCTCTGTCAGTGGAAATTCCCTGTGGTCAGTTCTGTTGCAAGATGGCTTGCCATCTGAGCAGGCTCGGTGGACTCGAGTTTATTATTACAGAAGGAGATGCAACCCTCGCGAGAGGCCGGAGCAATAATCTCCCCGATGCGCTCTCCCCAGCTCTGCTGGAGTATATGATCAATGGGGCTCCTCTTTGCGGATTGACGGACCATTCTCATCGCGCAGGTCGTGGTCCGTACATCACGGGCGACCGAAAGGTACTGGCAAGCTTCTTTCCAGACACATCTCTGCCGTCTAGAATGGGTGCGGAACAGCGAATATGGGCTAGAGAACTAACTCTTCAAAACTGGTAATGGTTCTCTGTGCATTACCGTCGGAGACACATGCCCGGCCACTGTATATAGTGAAATACTGCTACCGCTATTTTGACTTTCTGCCTAAAAGGGTAATGCAAGACAATAATCCTAGGGTCAACCGAACAAGCGTCTGGCATTGGTGTGGGGCTAGTATACAAGTCCATCGCAAGAAAATCATAGGCTCCCAAATTTACCTGCCTGGCTACATCCGATCGAGAACGACTCCATTTTCTTGAACATGACATCCCCTCAGCACGTGGGCTGTTTATGAGCAGATATTTCCTATCATTATTGCTGCTACGGAGACACCCTGAGAATCAATGTAAGGTAACACTAACTGGAACATTGCACACTTCATGAGCAGGCTTACGACCAAACAGTAGAAAATGGATGTACGGTTATGTGGTTAGAGGCGTGGACTTCTAACTAACAGGTCGCGACTTCGATCCTCGGGTGTTCCACACATCGGGGTTGGGTATGACTGGCAGGCGACGGCTAATAAGCCAGAAATGCCCATTCCAGTCTTCCTTGTCTTTGTCTGTAATAACATACTGCCTATATCATGCGCCGCTGTGCGGCTGCTGGTCGAGCTCGAGAGAGAGCCCGTAAGGCACAACGTAACGAGTGAGTTCCGCAAGAACGATCGGTGAGCGCCCCCTACCACTGTATATTCCCGATCGAAACCGACAGGGCAACGGGCTCATGATGCAGTGGTTAGAGGCGTGAACTTCTAACTAACAGGTCGCTAGTTCGAGCCTCGACTGTTCCACACTTCGGGGTTGGGCATGACTGGCTGACGACGACTAATAAGCCTGAAATGGCCATTCCAGTCCCCCTTGTCTTTGTCGGCACTAACATACTGGTTATGTGGTAGTTGATTCGGCATAATTTTTGGTAGTCGGAAAGCCAAATCTAACCGTCTTTCCTACTTGGAAAGGTCTCGGCAGG